CCCATGGGCGTTATTTTGAAAAACTCTATATTCAAAAAATTAATTTATTTATTCAAAATAACGCCCATGGGCGTACTCAAAATAGCGCGCATGTAGTCAAAATAGCGCGCCCCTGCCCGCTATTTCGAGATTTTACGGTAATATACAAATAGTTTTTAATTTAATAAAACATGAGAAAGCAAACATCAGTAATTTGAGCTACTTTGTTCTAAAAAATATTGAAAAAGATAGGTAAAATTATCTTCGCTTTTTAATTAAAATCCATAATTTTGATTGGTTGATCTATACCCAGCTGCACTGATCGATGATCAGCATATCTAAAATTAGCAGCAAATCAAATTTGGGTTGTTTTGGGTACACAACCTTTATTTACTGTTTACTCAAAAAAAATTACTAGTACCGTAACATCATTTTCAAGGCAAAAACCTGATTTTATTAAAGAAATTTTGACCAATGAAATCTGATTATACATGATAATTATCACATGACTGCCGATTTCTTATGGCACCACTAACTCACTAGTTTAATCTGGATAAATCCGTCATCCATTTATCCATATCTGAATTTATCCGGATATCCATTTACTATTGGTATCCGGATAATCCGACAAATATTCAGATAATTATCCGGATATCAATAATAAAATGGATATCCGAATAAATTTAGATCTGGATATCCAATATCCAATAGATAAATGATAAATAGATAATGGATAGAAACTCTAGTAAGAAGCTCAAAATTATGATTTTTTTTTTGTTCGTATCACTTATTTCTGATTCCCGGTCAGGACAAAAAATACCTACTTATTTGCTGGCTATTCAAAAAGTATTATCTTTGATTCGCAATACAACAAGTCTGATTGGCTAAAATTAAATACAGTACATATACTTCTAAATCGGATGTATCAGAAAAGACACTTTAAACAATGGACATTGGTGCAGTAAATGGCCAGTAAATAAGTAGGTATTTTTTGACCTGTTCCCAGTATACAATTGCTTCTCCATATAATAATAATTATTTTCTGTGCATAATGAGGCAGACCATGAGCTATTCATGAGACGCACCACTATCAATGGTCAGATAATAGACAACTACTCCGGAGAAAGACTAGATTTTTGCTTGAAAGCGCCCTAAATATTTATCGCTGTTTTTGAAATGGTTGTAAATAGCAATATTCTCAAAACAATTTTTTTTATTTTTTTTTTGCGAATACCGATTAGTTTAGAAAATTGATCACATTGATCGGAGATCGATTTCTATCTATATATAACGAAATATATACTGTATATATATATATATATAATATATAATTATTATGTTAAACAATTACTTGCCTAATTTATCATTAAATGCTATTTCAACCATATCGAAAACGGTGATAAACGTTATTTAACACGAATCGAATAGCTCACTAGTAGCTCACTTAACAACGTGAAATTTTTTTTTTAACAAAAGAATTGTTAAATTAATAAATAATTTCTAACAATTAATACTTAAATTATCAAAAATGCACATAAAGTATCGATAGAAGTAATCAGAGAATTAAACATATTTTCCAATATTTTTATGTTCTTTATATAAAATGATTTTGTGATAATAAAAAATTAATCAATAATAGTGTCACGTGGTTAAACGATATAGGGCAAACTATATCGAATATCTGGCCCAGGGTCGTTAATCTACGATTCGAACACTCACTTTATTCTTTATGTATTTGTTTACTATTGTATTAAACGACAGGTTTATATGTATATCAATGGGTAATTACTTTGTTCAGGAAATGGTTTTGCAGGAGACGTCCTTTTCTCTTGCTTACAACTTATTATTTTTATACATTTGCATTAGACAATCATTACGACACTATTACTAAATAATTACTCTCATTGTTCATTCGCATAATTTATATATATCGCATTACTTATTTATTGCGGCATTTTCGATTACTCATTTTAATTACGTCGATCAACTGTCACACACGTGACAAATAGTTTCTGTAAAAATATATCAGCGATAAAATCTTCCATAACAACTGCAAATTTAAAAAAAAAACCATCGCACATTGGATAATTCGTTTTATTAACAATTAATAATTAATAACTAGAAATCTCCATCATTAATCTTTATTTTAAAAAAAATCTAAGGGTATTATTATTTTTAACAAGAGTGAAATTCACTGGGGGTGCTATATCTCAAAAACGTACTAAATAATTAATCCTAAGTAAGAATCGTCCCAATGATTATCGTAAATATAACGATAGTAAATGATAACTGATAAAGTATAAATTACGGCAAGTTATGGGGCATCCCTAATCCTTGCCAGGACCCCTAAAACCTCATGAAAACTAAAATCGGGATCTACATTATACTATAAAACATTCTACAAGTTAAAATTGATAAAACAGCACCGGCGAATACTCGATTAGTTTAGAACATTGGTGCTATTACTTAGATTGGAAATCGATCATTTTTTTGTATGTACAGTTGCCTCACAAAGTTTAACACGGTTACACAAAAAACAATAATTTATAATTAATAAAAATATGCTATATGGCATAATAATGGTCGTACTGGTATTTAATAAGCATAGGTGAAGTTCGTTATGATTGGCTAATAAATTTTAAAAATGGTCACCAAAATTTAGAGATGATCATACGTAATTTATATTTTGTACTACTATAATTTTGGTTTCGATTGCAAGCGAAAAAAGCAAACCATATTTATTTTTTATTATACTATATGAAAAGACATTTGTACATATCAAATTTAACATTAAGAATAAATGAATATTTAAAACAAACATAAAGATGATTGCTTATATTATTATATATTTCAATTTGACCAATATCATCATTACCATTATTTTTATGTCGCATTTATTTTCATTATCATCTTCGACTTCATTATTGTCGTGTTTAATTATTTCATTCTCATAAATACCAAGCTTCAATCGATCTAAATAGATTTTGTTAGTTTGCGAATTTTTTCTCATAAAATTTAAATGCCAGAAACTATCTAAAAAAAATATATATTATTATTATTATAGTACTTAAAAAATAACAACAACAATAATTACTATAATACTTAACAAAAAAAATTATTATTATAGTACTTAAAAATAGAAACACCATCTTATTTAATATCTACCTTCATTAAATTAACAGACTTATTATATATTCCAGCGAATTCATAGCAAATACCAATGATTCAACGTTTGTTAATTTCGTTATTCCTTTCTTTTGGGTTAGATATTTCAACCATCACATCAAAAAAAAAAGATTTATAAATTAAGCACAACATTTAAAATTTTTCGAATCTATTAATTAAAACTTAATATAATTGATTGTGTTATATAAATTAATATATTATAAATAAATTAAATTAAAAAATACCTTGGTTTTACATCACCAAATTTGTTCGCAGACACAATATGACCTAGGGTTGGTTGCTTTTCCCATTTGTTAAATAATTTGAATCTGAAGCCAATGAAGGCTAAATTATATAATATTGAAGCCAAAAAAGGTAATATGATGGCCTCCCAAAAAACAATATAACTAACAAAAAAAAATGTTATAGCGGCGAAAAAAAGTGTTATAGCGGCGAAAAAAATGATATAGAAGCCAAATTATTGATGTGAGACCAAGCAAACAGTACAGCAAGTAACTGTTGTGGAATTGAAATGGATTAACACCCTTTTAATGGATTAACTTGCGCGAACACATATAAAACAGATAATCGAAGATGTTTATGCAAAAAGGTTTCATTGTACCACGATATCTATGCGAAATTTGGCAAACGTCTATCATACCTTATATATACTAATATAAATTATAGTCTAAAATTTTGACCAATCACAGAGATCTTCACCTATGCTTATTTAATATATATCGATAGATACTGTATATATTTAATTTGCGCAATATATTAATATCGTTGATTTTTGTTTTTTTGTTTATTTTTAGCAGTTTTTTAGGGATTTTTTTATGATTTGAATATAACTTACGATTTCAGTTCCCGTAAGGTTTTCAGAGGTCCTGAACCTTTGGAACCCTAATAAAAAAATTTCTTCATGCAATTTGTTACAATTTTTTTTTACGTAAGGTGCGCTTATGACAATTATCATGTTTATTCCCACTCTTATTTAAAAAAAGGTTTACTCGTGAAAAAACTAACAGTTGACGCGTTCGTAACTACAGTTGAAAAGATTTCTCTTAGTTTAAAGAGGTGAGCGTTGCTCGCTACGCGTGAACTGTCTAAATTGTGAAGGTGTAAGTGACGTTTGTTTGAACGAGCCTACCTGTGGAAATCAATCGTAGAAGTTCGTAGAACATGGTGTGAATGCTTGTAAAATATTAAAATATTAAAAAACTGTTATTATTATTACTTTGCAAGTAGTTAAAATGTCTTTTTATTATTTTCTGGGTCTGCTGAGTACGAACTGGTTAACATTGTGGAAGAGTAAGTTACGCTGGTTAAAGAGAGTCCATGTAGGCCAACTTATGGGAATCACCAACTATAGACCTTCATGTTCCGAGATTACATCATTCGCAGAACACGAACTGTTTAACGTGTGGAGTGTAAATTACGCTGGTTGGTATGATAATGACACGTCGTTCTCATTTCTTTATTATTATTATTATTTTATCTTTTTCTTTATAGATCATACTAATAATCGAGATGTAATTATTTTTTGGAGTTAAAGGTGAGCATTTCTCGCAGAGCATGAAGTGTTTGAACATTGTGGAGGTGTAAGTTACGCTGGTTGGAGTGAGTCCACAGGGGCCAACTTGTGGAAATCGCCAACT